GGAAAATCTCGCGCACCGAGCTGGCCGCATCAGCCTCGGCGTGCACTTGCATCAAGAGGCCATGTTGTTGGTAAAGGACGCAAGGGCTTCACGAAGAGGCAACGGCTTTGACCGTGCGTAGAGGCGGCGAGACCCTTGCGACGCGCAGATGAGCAGACAGAGCCGAAGGTGCATCAGCAGACGCCACCCCATCTCGTTGGACACTCGGTAGGAAAACACCCGCCACTGGTCATGGAAGCGCTTGGGATCGATGCGTTGCAAGGGCAAGCGAGCAGACAGGAGGGAAAGCTCGAGAAGAACACTTCGACCGTCGCTCGCAAACTGATTCGAGTAGCGATTCAGGGATACCTGCAGTCGGTCGTACGCGTGAGCGTACAGGGCGCCACTCGCAAGGAGCAGAGGCAGCGTGCTCGGCACGGTAATGGCTGAAATGTGGCGGACAGTCGCCGAAAAATGATCGGCGACGCCAGAGCGCCGATGGCCCAACGCCATGACAGGCCCAATTGCCAGTTCAACCAGCACGCGTGTTTCTTGAGGTGGAAATGGATTGAAGGACGGAAAGCGAACCGTCGCGTCATCATCGGTCGCTGGTGTTGCTCCAGCATCAGCATCAGCAGCAGCAGCAGCAGCAGCAGCAGCGCCTGCGGACGCGGATTCGGGTACAGATTCCTGGTGGCTGGAGGCATCGTCATCACCCAATTTGGCGTTCAACGGGTCAAACAGAGTCGGAGCGGCGCGCACGAGTGGGCTCCGAGCGCTCGTGACCCTTTGAACCGCCTTCTCTGCACCAAAGCACAGCAGTCGCTCAGAAGGCACGCAAAGAGTGCTCTGGGACAGAGTCTCATGAACGCGGCGATGGCTGCTTGCGGCTGGTTCTTTGATGGGAGCATCTGGCAAAGGTTCCGCGGGCGGGACAGCGCTGGGCGCTGGAGCGGCTGCCGACACGCGCGCATCCGACAATGAAGTAGAAGCAACGCCGACCGGGCAGGCAACCTCGCGCACTTGACACTGTAAAGACTCCAAAGTGACAAAGCCTGTGCCTTCCGTGATGGCAAGGGTGGCGTGTTGTGGAATATTTCCGAAAGACACAGCTGTGTCGCGACGAAGGTTGGCGTGCTTGGCGCCTGTCGCTCCATGCAGTGGGCTTGTCACGGCTGATTTCGACGTCAACAAGTTGGCTCCAACAGAAAGCTGCCCGCTATGCAGGACCAAACGGCACATGGAGAAGGGCCGCGCTGCATCGAGACCTCCGGCATCGACCACGAGCGGGACGGCAGTGGTCAGCTCCGGGACGGCGGACGGCTGGAGCGGGTTGAATCGCAGGGCAGTGGAGGCAAAGCTGCGCGGATGAACGGTCGACTGCAGCGCTTCAACTTGAAAACCCGGAAGTGTAATGGCAAACTGTCGGGAAGTGGTGTAGAGCTTGCCCAGTCGAGCAACATCGTCCATGTAATGCTGCAACAAGCGATCCAGAATCACCTCGGGGTCCTTTTCCGCTTGCAGCGTCATCGAGTCAACCATTTGCTGCACACTCGCGAGAAGCATCGGCGTGGTGAAGAGCCGCGTGTACTGGTGGAAACGAACAATGGTTGCAACAGCTGGCCGTCCGCGAAGCGACATTGGCGCGCGAGCCATGGGGGCCGAGTCGCGTGGCTGCGGCAGGGTGGTGGAAGACGACGAGGAAGTCGGTTTGACCGCAGTCAAAGCAAAGCCCTGATGATATGCGCGGATGAACGCAGCCAGCCCTTTGAAAGGAATGGATTGTTCGAGGACACTATCAGGTGAGGCATCGGGCGAAAGCTCTGTCGCGTCTGAGGGCTGGTGGACATTGGACTGCCAGTGGGCCTTGCCAGCGCGTACAGACTGCAGATCGCGCGCATCAAATGCGACGGCCGTCCAGTCCGGAACGTGCAACGATTTGATGCCGTCGACGAGCTCTGGCGCTTCTTCGGGGAAAACGGTGGCTGGGTGGTGACCTGCCTCTTCCGGTTCCCCCTCGTCCTCGTCTGCATCGCCGTCGGCAGCAGCGGCAGCAGCAGCGGCCGCAAGCCAAGCTGGATGCAAAAATTCTCCAGACGGCGGATGATGGCGCCCCAAATCAACAACGGGGGGCACGCTCGAGCGTGCCCGGACGTTGTGGCACACCAGGAACGGAAGCGAAGGAGCTGCGTAGCCGGCGTCAAACTCGGAATCGACCACCGTTTTTCGCATGCTGTACGTGTTGACTAACGGCAAGTAAGCGGTAAGCAGTCGTTGCTGCAAAGCATAGGCAGCCAATTTCGAAGCAGCGCCGCCCGCAAAGTCATGCAACGGCCCGGAATCATCAGCAAGAGTGTCCGAGTTGGTCACCGAGGGTGACGCGCCGTCCGCCGCGCCATCGTGACCAAAGAACTCGTTCGCCGCAACAAACGCACCTTCGTCGTCGTCTTCGCCGTCGATTTCAGACCGTTGCTTCTGATGCGCTCGTCGCGCATAGCGCACAGGATGGACATCTTCTGTGCCATCATCGAAGGTGCTTGCAAGGGCAGCAGCACCCGACGCACTTCGTCGCGACAGCGGGAATTGGTCGTCTGAGCCCGAATCCGAGTCTTCTGTCGTCGAGCCTTGAGAGGTAAAGTCATCGTCGCTGTCGTCGTCGCGGGCATCGCTCTCGTCGTTCTGGAGGTCTCTCTGATTCCGGCGAGAGTGAAAGCGCTCGGTCGTGTGGTGGCCGTCACTGTCCGTTTCATCCGAGCCCGACAGCGAGTACGCCGAGCTCTCCGTGTCGCGCCCCAAAATGTGAAGATCATCGGCCGAGAGCCCAGAGTCGCTCGAATCCAGAAGGGACCCGGTACTGCGAGAACTGCTAGAGCTGTTGCTGCCAAGGCGCGATGCCTGCGAATCAAGCCTTGCAATTGCATCACGAAACGCCGCAGTGCTGGCCGCAGCAGATTCCTGCTCAAGCGAAGCACCACGTTCGTGGTAGGCGCCCGGTTCGCCAAACTCGGTCGCATCAGCGAGCGAAGAAACAGCCGAATGGAAGCTGTCAGAATCACTCAACTCGTCCTTGACAGACTGGTCGCTGTGCACTGACGCGGTGGTCACAGCGCCTCCTTCAGTGTTCAAATGCGGCTGATCAAAGGGCGAGGTGGACTCTGCCGCCAAGCCAGCGGTCAGGGACGCGCGGGATGCCCGCAACTCAACTTGTGACGGAGTGAATTTGGCCTGGGCGGCTTCATTCTCCAGCGTGTTGGCGCGCGTGTGAGTGCCTTTAGGGGCGGCAAGTTGCTTCGAAGGTGGCGCGGCCCGATCTGTCTCAGCAGCAGGAGCAGAAGCAGGAGAAGGAGAATGGGACGGCTCGGCGTGCACAGAAGAGCGGCGTGGTGCTGGACTGGCAGTCGCATGATTGCTACTCAGCGTCGGTGAGGAGGGATGGCCTCGAAGACGCCGTTGCTGTGGCTGCGAAGACGTGGTGAACGACTTGGATTCGTCGTCGCTCTGGCTACTCGAGCTGGCACGGGACAGCATCTCCCGACTGCGTGCTCTGGAGCTGCTTCGACGGGAAGAGTGACGTTTGTTGTTGCTCGGTTCTGTGGAAGCATGCTCGAAACGAGCAGCAGCCAGCGTGCGCGTGTCCAAAATCAGGCTGCGTCGTCTGAGGATGGCATCTTTGGCGGTGCGCGAGGGGGTTGGCGATCGCGGCGAATCTGGAACGTCTGACGGTTGCACGCCGTTCGTCGAGTCGCTTTCGTCGTTGTCGTCGTTGTCATCGTCGTCGTTGACGTCGTCGTTGTCGTTGTCGCTTTTGACTTTCGAGCGGGACGTGCGCATGCTGGACTTTGGGAGCCGAGTCCGGCTGCTCCCAACCGCAGCAGAAGAAACCGCATGCAAAGTGGCGTGCGAGGCGTACTGGCCTGCGCGATTTGGTGAAATTTTCGGGGATTGCAAAGACGCTGGGTCCTGGCCCGTGGCAAGTGCATCGTCAAGGGCAATCAAGGAAGCCGCACGGCCGAATTTGCTCGAAGCAAGTTCCCGCATGGAGCCGGAATGTCGACTGTGCTTTGACGTGGACGCAATGACGGCGGCTGAGATTTTGCGCGAGCGTGCTGATGGCGGTGCCGGACTTGGAGCGAGTTTGGCACTGTGCAGAGTCGACGTTGCGGCTGCAGCGGCAATGGCCGCCGCTCGCTCGAGCTGAAGCCGCCGGACACGTCGAGCGAGCTTTTTCGGATCTTGCCACAGGTAATGCAAGGCGCGGTGATGCACGTCGTTGGCGAGGAGGAAGGCACGTTGAGTCGCAGCATCTTCACGCCAGGTCGGGAACTTGTCCAGCAGCGTCACGGTCAACGACGTGGACAACGATCCGACTTGTGCCCACACACCGGCCAGCTGCTGGGATCGATCTGCAACACGATCTGCAGGACCACTGACACTGGTATTGGAGGTGGGGGTGGGGGTGGGGGTGGAGGTGGCAGCAGCAGCAGCGGCGGCAGCAGCGGCGGCAGCAGTCATTGGGGCGGAGCTCGGCAGTACACCTTCATTCAGAGCACTATCAGAAGGAGTAGGAAGGGTGGGTGATGTAACTAGAGTCCCGGTTGCTCTTCCCGGCTGCCGTTGTTGTTGTTGTTGTTGCTGTTGCTGTTGTGGTAGTTTAGATGATAAATGAGGCGGCCGAACAACCTTGAGCGGGTGGTTCTTGTACATGAGCTGATGAACAAGCACGTCGGGTAGGTCGATGCGCAGCTTGTCGTTCGAAATTGCCGTGACGAGCGAATCTTTGAGCACGGAAGCGCCTTGACTCAGCTGCAAATGCAAACAGTTGTCCCCGTCGACCAAAAACACACCAATCTGCTTGGTCGACAGGTCGAGCGTGGTGTGCATCAAGTCAACCTCGTCCTCGACAGGTCCGACCCACACGCTGTTCTCCTTGTCTTTCATGTGGTACAGGAAGGAGTCGAGCCACGACGCTGCGCTTGCAACTTGCGGGAGGGACAGAAATCCGGTAATTTCACCGACCTTGATGCAGTACCGCGAAGCAAACGTCTCGGCAAGGGGCAGCGGCCCGTACAAACGATGCCCTGTCAGAGTCAGGCCGCCAATGTGCAGGCTGCCCGGAGAGTACATTTGCATGGAATCGGGCAGCAGCACTTGATTGTGCGCTGCGGGCTCGTCCAGGCCTGCCAGTCCTCCAGCGCCAACAGCACTTGGCGGGGCTGACGATGAGCCCGCGACCACGGAGCCTCGTCGAATGCTGGCATTGGCAGCAGCGCGCGTCTGCATCTTGGCCGTCTTGGCAGCATCAAGCACAAACTCTGCGCTCGGAGTGAGCAGCGTGAGGGGTGCGACATCCAGCTCCAAGCTCATGTGATCGTGGGTGTTGATGACCTCGAGCGTAATTTCGGGGCATCGAATGATCGGAGACAGTGGATGGAGCGTGTAGAGATTGACAGGCAGCTCGAAAATAACGTCCGCAATGTGGACTCCGACATGAATGTGGAGCGAGTTGACATCCAGAGGGGGCAGGAGAGGGTCACCGCTGAGCGCGCCGGCTGCAAGTGGCAGGTCAGGCGTGGGAGAAGCCAAGGAGCGCGTCGAACGAAGCAAATTTGCTTGAAACTGCTCGAGGTTGGTAAAGTTGTTGTCCACACCAAAATAGTTGTCCTTGACAAACAGTACATAGCGGACGAAAAAGCCAAACAGCTTGAGCACAATGTGGCGTGCATCAAAGTCCAGTTCAAGGACGTCTGTGGCCGACGGATGATACTCGGAGTGGACCAGGTAGGACGCATTCACGGTGAAAATGCCAAGCGACCAGTAAATCATCTCGGGATCGTCGATGTTCTGCCGAATGGTGCTTGAGCGTGGCAGGTGAAGGCGCAGCGCGAGGTCATCCACGTCGACATGAAACGTGTACGTTGTCGCAGCCGCTTTGTACGACGTGAACGGCATGACGCACGAAAAGTTGAGCTGCGGTCCCTCCAAACTCACAAAGGCGTTGTCGTCAAAATCGTTTGGCCGATTGATAATATTGCGCTCGTTGAGGCACCAGAGGAGCTTGAAATTTCGGAAGACTGCATTCACAGAGTACGTATATGGAACAAAGTGAAGCAAGTCCACTGGCTGCTCGGCGCCCCAATCGTTGACCAAGTCTGTCAAGAACGGGATTTGCGATCTCAGGTAGAAAATCCGGACTTCATGGAAGGCAAAATCGAAAATCCAATGCTGATGGCCGTTCCATTTGAGTGGGACATGCATTGAGGCGCGCATCTGTACAGGTTTTCCACAACAGCAAGTGAGGGCGTTACAAAATCTCGTGAGACAACATCAAATCAAACGAGATGACGAAGGGAACGAACGACGAGAGGGAGCTTACTTTCATGGCTCGACTAGAAACAAGCGAGGAAAATGGCAAAGTAGTTGAGACAGACATGTTTGCCAAATGCGCTTGAATGACGTGCGTGTAGCCTTCCGGCCCGACAATCCAGGGGACTTCAAATTCAATACTCGAGCCACCATCTACTTGAACAGTAATGGCCTTGCCAGGTGTGCCAAAATCTGCATCTGTTTTGACTTGCGAGCCCTGCGGTGGAACGATTGCAATGAGACGGAATTTGGTGAGCAACACAAGCATCAAAGCATGACCACTCGACGATCATGACAACCATATACCACGACTCAAACTTTACCTCAAACGTTCGGTAGCCAAAGGGCATCAGCACGCGTGTTTGCTCGCCGAATGCCAATCGTACGTCAAGGGATTCATAGCGACGTAAATCTCCGAGTTTGAGAGGCGGCGTTGGCTGCTGGTCGTCATAGCTCCACGGGTAAAAGAAGAGCTGGAGCATGGAGCGCTGCTTGTCGTCAATTGGACTGTAGGTGAGCTCTGTCTCTGAGACGAACGTCATGTTGATTCCCCATTGGGGCGGAGGCGTGCCGTCTGCAATTGCGACATCTGTTACAAGACCCGGAACGTCGACAAAATAGTCAATGCTCATTTCGGAAGATTTGAGAATGACCTTGTTCACCAACTGGCGCTCGCGACCGCTCATGCTCGGACGAGCAGTTGGAGTGGAAATGACACGGCCATCGAAATCGCGAGGCCACAGCACCGTGTTGGAAATGAGGCGAACGCGGCACGTTTGGACGCTCATGCGCGTGATCCAGCGGAACATGTCGGCCGCCGAGCGGGCTTTGGTCGTGGTGTGGACGCCAGTAATCTCGCGGCATTCGAACGAGGCGAGAGACTTGAGCAAAGGATTGCCGACGACAATGCATGCTCGTAGTATAGTCAGATGCACCGCAGGAATGTACTCTAGCCACGCTGGTCGAGGTTGCGGCTGGGGCACAACGTCGTCGACAGACACGTCCGGATCGGTCATTGGAACTGCCGTTTGCTCTGGATGTGTCTGTGATGGGTTTACTCGCCCTGGCGTCGCACTAGTAGCAGAAGCGGCAGGCGTGGATCCACCGGTTCCAGCTGCTGCAGAGGTGCCTGGTGGGCGAGCGCGCTGAGCCAGCATGTCTCGTAATCGGTCGTAATTTTTGCTATTGTTGTAAAAGTGCACCTGGAGACCGTTGAGCTCCAACGACAACCGGCAATTGTCCTTGACCACTAGCGAGTCAACAACAACACACAACGACGAGTCAGCAGCATTCAAAAGTTGTTCGGAACATTTTGGTTTGGCAGCAAATCGCCGCAGCAACAAAAAATTTCGCCCCCACCTGATCCAAGCGTCTTTTGATAGTCCCACAACCAGTAGCGCAGCGTGATACTGCCATCAATGATGCGCAGCGACAGGTCGTTGTTTGTGTACCGCACTTCGCTGAACATGATTTTGGCGCCAAGCAGATTGAACGAGACGGCACCTGTTGGACAGCAGCTGAGAGTGAGACGATGCAGACAAGTCCACCGAGCAACGTGGTACTTTGGAAGTCCAATGCAAACCTCCCCACCCACCCCTTGAGGACTGAAGGTGGCTGGGGTTTTGGGGGTTGGTGGACGGAAGGAGGGGAAGCGAGGCCTGCTGCGCCGTTCGTCTCCCCCACCAGAGCAAGGTTCGTCGCATCCACACCACCATTGCACCAGGCCCCCCTCATCGAAGACATTGTCACACAGACAAAGGAAGAGCAGCAAAGGGGGCCCCCCAACTGAAGCACGGATCCGAAAAGCGATTGCATGGCATTATGGCATTGCGTTTCCATTCATTCACACTGGACTGACCGATGACGAGCGAGTCCTGGTCTGACTTGAGCAGGCGACGGATGAGGCGCGTTGCAACGAGACCAAAGACGCGCGAGTTAAAGTAGAGCAGGTAGAGAACCCACAGTGCAGACAGCACGCACGTCACAATGAGGACGGGCAGGTCGGACACGGTCGCCATTCTCTATCATAAAAAGCTCAGACAAACAAAAAAAAAAAAAAAAAGAAAAAAAAAAAAAAAGCCGCGCTCAGATTTTGGTACTCTGCACTCTCTGTACTCTGCAAGTGAATGAAGAAGATGAATAAGAAGAAAAAAAAATGAATGAATGAATGAGTGAATGAATGAATGAATGAAAACAAAAAATAGAAAATGGACTGCAGCGCTCAGAGCACTTGTTAAGAAAAACTCTTGAAAACATTCACAACGGGGAACAATTTTGATGATCTACATGTACGCGTGCCCGAGCTCTTCTGCTCGGTCGGCAACCCCCGTCCAAAACATCATTGCTCAAGAATGCCAACAACGATCGTGCGTGTGACATCGAGCGAGACGGGAAGGTGGTGGGACACAATCGAACTCCAGCAGAGTCGGCGCAGCGAGGATATTCTACGCCGCAGTTCAGGCACCAGAACAGCAGCAGGTTGTTGGTGTGGTGCGCCTGTCTGGAATGGAGCAACTGCAGGCGAATCGGGAGTGTCAGCGGCAGCAGCAGCAGCAGCAGCGTTCTTGTTAAGGTGCGGACTCGAAACGGGGGGCATATAGACGGATATGCCGTGCGACTCGAGCAGCTGGAGTGGAGTCTCGCCTTGGAGGTTGGGCGCATGCACCGAGCCACCAAATTGCGCGAGAAGCACGACGCAGCCAAGCTTTCCGGCGCGGGCGGCGTAGTGCGCTGCAGTGTTGCCATCTTTGTCGACCAGCTCAACGCTGGCATGCCGTTGCAATAATACCTGACATGCGTGCTCCCGACCAAACGATGCTGCATACATGAGCGGGGTTTTCCCCTGAGCACACCGCGCATCGGCGAGGTACAAGGTGTGAAAAACGGCCTGCTGTCGTTTGAGCGTTGATGATGATGATGATGATGATGACGACGATTTGCTGGCAAACACCGAGTGCCCATCTTGTACTCCACACATGTTGGTGCGAGAAGCGCGTGCAAGGGACAGTGTTGGGGATGCGGCGCCCGATCGAAGAAGCTCAAGCGCCGCGTCGTCAGCAAGCGGGAATTCCGCATGAAACGCAATGGCCTGTGCCACGTCAGGAAGACTCGATTGACCTGCTTGCAGCAACGCCTCTTGCTGGAGTTGCTCGCGGCAGACGACGTTTTCCGCGAGTGCGCTGTTACCTAAATTGTCGAGGAGACGTGCTAACGCCGACAGGGCGTGGTGCAGCAGGACCTCGAGGACCTCGGCCTTGCCACGCGTGGCTGCGTGGTGCACTGCGTTGAGCCCACGGCTGTCTCGCGTCTCCAGCGCAGCGCCGTGCTGGAGCAGGGTGGAGACGCAGGCGACGGTGCCCCGGCGGGCGGCCACCATCAGCGGTGTCGACCCGTCCGAGTCGCCGTGCTCGACTTGCCCGCGCGCCCACTCTGGCCGGTGGAGCAGCAGGTTCAAGCACTCTGCGTGGCGGTACTGCACACTATAGAACAGCGGACTGGTGCCCCAGTCGTCCGGAGGAGCAGCCGCGCTCGACACGAACACGGCGGCGCTACTGCCGCTAAGCGAGGACGGGCCACAAACGGATGCGGAGCCGCAAACCTCGACAATGCCTGCCGCAGCTCGATGGAACTGCGTCACGTTACGCGCACAGTCCGTGCACAGCTTGGCGGACGGCGGGGGCGACGGCGGGCACGAGTATGCGGATGCGAGCAGTTTTAGCGGCGGCATTTTGGTTGGCCACCAACAACAAGCAAGATTAGTTTGACTGGTCCTGATTTGGTGTTGACAGTCGAGTGGTGCCGATGTCATGCATCAACCATGTCAAACAAATTGAAGGGAAAATGACCAAAAAAAAAAAAAGTGTGCTGCCGACGAAATTGCACAAGATTTTTTTTCGCTCAAACAAACAAAACACAACACAAACCCAATAAGTTATCACAACGAAAGCATACACAATAGCTCAATCAAAGGAGAAAAGAACGCTCGACAACTTTCACCGAACAAACCGACGCAAAAACAGAATACACGCAGTCTGGCTAGCGGTCTAGCCCAAAAGTCGGGAAGGAGACGGCACGTCCACTCACGACGCCTCTCGCGGCTCCACTTGCAACGACAGCTCATAGTACTCGTCCTCGGATCCGGCCGTGGCGATTTCACTAACAAACGCGCCGACTTGTCGCACCAGCACAAAGTTGTACGGCATGTGCTGATATTGCCGCAGCCGGTTGATCACGTTGGCATATTGCGAGCGCTTGCGGAAGTTGATCACGGTCGGCTGCTGGGGCAGGTAGTCTGGATTACCGTCCTCGATGAAGGTCAGGTCTGTCAGGTAGATGCCTAGAGATTGCAGAAGTGGCCGACCAGGATCGGGTGATCATAAAGTGGTGGTGAGAAACACGGGGGAAACCTTGTTGAAAAATACAGTCAGAAGCAAGGAAGCGAGACATACCCATGAACGGAATACAGGGCGGCTCAATCGACTCAATTTCCTGGCGATACTTTGCGTGATTGGACGTCGAGGAGACAAGTGTGGAAAGCGTTCCAAACAATTCCTTCTCTTTGGCGGTGAGGAGCTGTAACAGAGGGTGAGGAAGGTGAGAAGAAGGGCAAGAAGCAGAAAAAAAAAGTGAAGGAAAGGGGTGGAAAATCAAAAACGCGCAAAGTCCAGACCATGCTTTTCACACTTACATCCCATGTTTTCTTCAGACGATGGATCGGACCCGTCTCCAAGCCACCCATGATGGCAAACAACGAGCAAAAGTTGTGAATCTCGTGACAGGCCTGCCATAGCGATCCAGAGGAGAAGGGTGTGTGTGTCAGTCAAGCCATGCGACACAGGAAAACCACCACCAACAACAACAAGGTCAGTAATTCACCTCGGCAGTCCGCAGGAACATGCGCAAAACAGCCACGCGCTTTTGCAAGTCTTTCTCCGAGAGTATTGTGAACACGACCCACGACAAAACCTGCACAACCCGCCCAGAACACAAAATGAGCCAATGAAAATCTCGCAACAAACACAAAAACAAAAAAAAAAAAAAAAAAAAACAACAAAAAAACAAAGAGTGCCTCCCAGACAACAACACCCCCCCCCACAACTCAGCCTACCTTGCTGAAACGATCAATGGTTGCCAAGAGATTGCGAGCCTTGTGCTGCAGCTCCTTCTTATTCCAGGCCAGATCGAGACAGTCCTTGGGTTGGATTTTCTTGTAAAGTTCAAAGTCAATCATGGCCATGTGGCGCGCCAATTCCATGGGATCCAGGTCGAGCAGCGTAAACGATGCCAAGTTTGCTGGAAGAATGGACTTTGGCGGGTTTTTGGCAGCCGCGCGGGTTTCTTCTTTGACGGGGCCGTAAATCTGACGAGAAAAGCCAAGTCAACGGTGAGCAACAATTGTAAACGTACGAAAAATGAATTGAGCAAACACTCCAGATTCATGTGCAACGAAAAAAAAAACCACCTCACCTTGTAGCGCTTCAAAAGCTTTTCGAGCTGGGTAGAGGCGGTTTTGAGATCATCCGCCATGGTTGACGTAAATCGCGAGAAGGTCACTTCAAGCGTGGGATTTTCCAGAAAATCGTCAAAGGACTTGTTCAACCACGCACGGAGGGCGTTGAATACACTGTCGATACATGAAGAACGCAAAAAAATAAGTGAGAATGGTGTTGCAAAAAATGGAACATCTCCACCCACAACACCAGCAACCTGCTACATACCGCAGTCGGATGGGAATGATAATTCGCTTGTTGTAAATGTCCTTTTGCTCGGCGGAGAGCGTGTTGACCGGGAAGTCAACGGCGTATCGCAGAATCAACGCGTCAAGCAGCTTCTGGGGCGTGGTGAAGGAGTGGTAAGTCAGAATGAACGTGTCGAGGAAGACGGGATCTGGCTTGCTTGGCGACGTCAGACGGGCGATGAGCTTGTCGAGCGGGCCACCACGGACCGTCTTTTGCGTCTTGTCCTCGTACACAATGCCAGGTTCATCGAGCTGCTTTTTGAGGAGGTTGTTAAACTCTTCCTCCTGTTCACAGTAAGCAAAACAAACAGAAGAGCGGAAGAGCGGAAGGAAGAGCGGAAGAGGTGAGCGGTGTGAAGGAGAAACCAAAATGCCGGCACCTCCCAAAATCGCAAACACAACAAACAATCAAAACACACCGTAACGACACGAGGCACGGCACCGCTGGCACTCGGCGAATCCTTGGACTGGCCAATGAGCTTGGAGCGATTGAACAGCTGGTTCATCTCTGCAATCTTTTCGCGGTTTCGATCTTGCTCGAGCTTGTGCTGCTGGTGAAGCTCGACGCGGCGGGTCGTGTCGGAAATGTACTCGCGCAACGGGGTGAGCACCGCATCCAAGTGGGCAGCAAGCGCACGGAGGGCCGCGACAAAGCGCTCGTTCGCGTCCGGCGGGGGCCAGAAGGCTGTGCAAAGACGCCATGTCAGCAGCACCTCGTGAAGAAGGACGTGGATGGGCCGCTTGCCGTTTTCAACAGCATGCTGGGCATACTCTGCCATGCGGAAGGTTTCCAAGGATTCCAACTCTTCGCGGAACTGCCGCGAGACTTCCTCAGCAACGCGAACATGCTCTTCGTATTGCTCGGTCTTTTTGTCCACTGTCAGCTCGACCAGGCTCGCAGTCGCCTGCCGAACAGCATCGGCATAGGCATTTAAACTTGCCATGATGGCCGAGTTGACATTGTTCTCGAGAATTTCCGCATCGCTGACCACCAGTCGATTGGCCGCCGCTGCTGCGTCGCTCATGGAAGAGCGGTTGGACGGGTTGGGGGACGTGGGGTTGGATTCGCTGGGTGTCGAAAGGGCGGCCAGTTGAATGTGCTTGTCTGCGTCGAAATGAATGTCGCGGAGCTGGTCGAGATCGTAAGTGCTGGCCTTGAACACTCCCTCCGCCTTGGCGACTTGCAAAAAGGCAATCATGGGGGTTGTCAGCAGGACGCAGGTGGAGACGACATCGTACGGAGCATTGTCCGTCGGCCACATGCCCGATGCAATCTTGGTGGCAAACACGAGCCGCTCGGCAGCCTTGGCGACCTTCTCCTTCTCGGCCGTAATGCGGCCTTTCTTGGCCGGGTCGAAAAGGACGTAGGCAGGCGTGTGCTCCACGGCCTCGACAATGCGCTCCGAGGCAGCGACGACAGCAGCGGTGGCAAACTTGTACGCGTCCTTCACTCCCGCGGCCACAATTTTGAGCTCCTCGGCCATGCAGCGCATCAGGTAGTGCAGCAAGGCAACAGGAACGCGGTCGGCCGACTGTTCGTTGCACATGCCAGCCACCATCAGGACCTTCGACATGAGAGCCGCGTTGTGCACCGTGCTGGGCAGGTCCCGAAGGAAGCCTTCAATCAGAGCGAGCGCACTGGCAACCTCGCTGGTGTTGTTCAGTTCGTTTGCAAGAAGGCGCTTGCCGGCGTTGGCCAGCCGCACCAGCGACGCAGAGAGGTACTCCATGTTCTTGGCGATGCCGCTCTTCACATTGGCATGGAACCCGGCCACAATGGTGTCGACAAGAACCAGAATATCCTTGACTGACCGAATCACCAGTGTGAGCTGTGCAATCACTTCGGGCTGGAGTTGGGAGCGCAGGTCGGGCTTGCTGGCAATAAAGTCCTTGCAGCTCACTTGCAAATCACGCTGCGCAGGGAAGTAGCGCGAGCGCATCGAGGTCAGCGTCGACATTGTGGTCGCATCTTCGTGGATGACCATCGTGTCCAGTGCATCGTCGGCGACCAGTCCGCCCACCTGCGCCGCGCGTGCAGCAACCGAGGTGGTGATTTTCTTGGACGGGTTGTGCTTGAGGTAAAAGATGCTTTCCATCGTGAGCGGATCCAGAGCTGCCTGCAGCTCCTCCATCAGCGGATTTTCATTGTCGTCCAGGCATCGCGCGTCTAAACGATGGGGGCGGGGGAAACGATGGGGTGGGGGTAGGAAGAAACGCGGAAAGCGGTGGGGAGGAGGGTGAAAAGGTGAATGAATACTCGACAACCAACGGAACGAGCAAGATCGTCATCACTATCGATACGTACCCGACTCATTGAGGCCAAAGAACACGCTGTACTTGAGAGGGTCGTTCTGGAGCTGGAACTTTTCGGCAAGCACTGGCAAAATATCGGCGCAAATGTTCTCCGACGTAACCTGGATACACTTTGACGCCATTTCGGTCAGTCCTTCCTTGCAGTGCACCTTGAGAATGCCACGAAACACGAGATCCTGGTTTGAGAGCAAAGGCGAAGGTGGGGGGGGGGAAAGAATGAGAACAAAAAAAAGTGTGCAGCCAAGAGAACCCCTGCAAGCCAAAAACAGGTGCACAATTGGGGTTCCAACCTTGGTCGGATAGGAAAACTTGAACAGAGCAAGACGCGTCTTGTTGGCACGAACAATCTTCTTTTCGAGTTCAGAGTGCAACGCCTTCTTTTGGCGCCGGACAGTCAAACCCGTCGTCTTGCCGCCGGGCGTGAGCGACGCAGAGCTGTTGGACGACTTGACCGTCCCGCGCTTGCGAGTCGCAGACGGGGTCATGAGCGCTCGCTTTTCGATGCGCGCCTGGCTGCTCTTGCTTTGCAGGCGTCCGCGCGCCGCGATATCCGGATCTGAGCCGTCCAGGCTGCGCATCGATCCGCCCACGGCGCTTGCGAGACTGGGAGGGACGCCGCCTTTCGTCGCATCGTCCAGCTGTGAGCTGCTGCCCTTTGACGACAGTGACGCCATCGAGGTGCGATGGTGCAGTGATGGTGACGTCGGATCCGACGAGGCGGCGCCAATCGTGTTGAGGTTGCCGTGACTCGCCGCGTCTCCAGCCACCGCCTTCTTGAACAACGACATGTCCTTCTTGCTGCTCTTGTACAAAACTGGACAAACAACACGCAGCACTGAGACAACGTTGCTGGATGTGAGTAAGACGACGGGAATAGCAGGAGCGACTGTCGCAAGTGCATGAATGCGTGAGGTGTCGATGTACTTGTCCTATGACACCCCTAACCCCCTTGCCCCCAAACTCTCAAACCCCCAACCCCCTTTACTCCCATCCCCAACTCCATCAGCGCAACAATGGGAAGAAAGCAGATTTTTGCAATGTTGTGGCGGTCTTTGTTTTTTTTTTTTTTTTTTTTTTTTTTTTTTTTTTTTTTTTTTTTTTTTTTTTTTGGGGCATCGACGTGTTTTGAGCCCCACTCGTCCTCCTCCTCCTCCTCCTCGCCCCTCGGCTCCTCGCTTCTGACAGTACGCATCCAGTCAAGCACCTCCTCTTCAGTCTCGGTGCGACCATCCCAGTCTGCCAGTCAGATGCGCGAGCCAGCAAATAAAAAAAAAAACCATCACACACACAAAAAAAAAAAAAAAAAAGCTTTTGTCGTGCCGGTTTGTTTAAAAGCCGCGACCAGCTCGAGCCGCAACGGCCACACGACATCCACACGAGCCGCAAAGACAGGCGCGGATGCTTGGGGTGCCACGGGACCACGCGGGAGGGGTGCGTTTGGCTCCAAAACGAACGAGTTGGGATACAAAAAAAAAAAACCACTGTCAACACATTGTCAGAAATAGAAAAAAAAAAAAAAACTCACAAAAAAAGGGTTTTTGAAAAAAAAAAAAGAAAAAAAAAAAAGAAAAGAAAAAAAAATCCAAGACTGAAAATCTGAGACACAACATGGCTTGCATTGGAAACAAACAACAGGAACACAAAATGGATGCATCGCGTCGTGCTCGCTCAATAAACCTCGTTTGTTGAGTAAGCCGAAACGCGCTTTTTCACTGCACAGAGGAATCGCTGGCCACGGCGGCGGGGACCTGGAAGCCCTTGCTGCGAATGAGCTCGACAGTGGCCTTCCACAGGGCCGAGGAGGTTGCCGCATTGGTGGCATGCGCATCGAGAGGCGTGCGGGTGCAGTTGCTGTAAAACAGACCGCGATCGGCCTCGGTCTCGGACGACGCAGCTGCGTACATGGACGAGTACGCACCTTGCGCCGCAGTGTAGAACAGGAGATTGGCGAATGGACGCTCGATAAATTGCAGGAATTGGGGGAGGTGCTGGTACAAGCCCGTGTTCACCACGCCAGGATGAAGCGCATGCGAGGCAACGTTGGCTTTGCGTGCAGTCAGCAGCTGCTGCAGCTGTCCCGAGAACAGAATGTTGGCGAGCTTGCTTTGGGCGTACGCACCAAGTCGGTCGTACGATTTCCTGAGAGGCAGAAGGATCGGGAACAAGTGAGCGTGTCAGCAGAATGAGGTTCTTCTTTTTTTTCTTTTTTTTTTAATTTCTCTACGCAAGAATCAAGCAGCGGTATTACTCGGAATTGAGATCATCAAAGTTGATCGACCCTCCATGGTACGCGGCGGACGAGACGTTGACAATGCGGGCAACACGCTCGGGCGTTCCCGCTCTGCACAGCAAGACACGAGCGACATGAGCGACATCCAAACCGAGATTGGCGGAAGAGACTGCACCTCGTCTTACGCAACAATGTTGTCCAGCAACAACAAGGTCAGGTAGAAAGGTCCGACGTAGTTGGTGCCAAACTGTGTTTCAAAGCCGTCAGCGGTGTGACCGAACGGAGGGACCATCACACCGGCTGATCGGAAGAAAAAGGGCAATAACAATAATGTGTGAGTAAATAAACTGTGGGGATTCAATGCCTGTTGTGTGTGTGTGTGTGTTCGCGCGCGTGTACCGTTGTTGACCAGAAGGTGAATTTTGGGGAATTTCTTGTTGGCTGCTTGAGCAAAATCGCGGATGGATGCAAGCGACTGCAGATCAAGAAGCTGCAGCTCCACTGGTTGGGCAACGAAGCAAACAACGGAGTCAGTGGTCCAAAGTTACGACTGAGAATGGGTAGATGGAAACAACCTTGGCTCGAAGGAAATTCGCTTCGAATGGCTTGAACGGCTGCCTCGCCCTTTTCGGAATTACGGCAAGCTGAAAGCGATGGCAAAACATGCAAGTGAGAAGAGCGGTCTGACGTGGCGCGGAGTGACGAAACAGCCGCAAGGAGCAAGAAGCAGCGCGACACATTGAAACTCTTCGTCGCTCACCAAGCACAACGTGCGCGCCAAGACCAGCGAGGCTCCGTGCCGTTTCAAACCCGCAGCCAATGTTGGCTCCAGTGACGATGGCGACGCGGCCCTCGAGCGGGACGAGACCTGTGAATGAAAACGAGTTCCAGCAATTTGGTGCCAGTCCATTGCGCGGTGCAAACAGCACAAGTCTACAGCAGAGAGGACAGTACCAGTGGGCTGCTTTGCCGGAGTGAAGATCTGGGTGACCAACGAATACGTTCCCAGCAACGCAGATTTGATGGATTGCATGTTCGTTCTTGCTGATGTGTGTGTGCGACGATCGAAAGAAGAGAACTGACTGTCATCATTCTCCAATCCGTCCATCTGTGAATGACGTTCAGTGGTTGTGGTTTTTGTGTTTGTTTGGCTGGTAGTTTGGCTTTTTCCCGCTCCCCTTCAAGCTTCAGCAAGGTTGTGCTCGTCAGGCAGCATCAACAGCAAGCAGCAAGCAGTCACTGCGAAAATGCGCAACAAAACTCGAGTTCATCCACAATTTTTTGATTTGTAATTTGATTATTCCACAAAAGCATATGATTTGTTCAATCACGAATGTGTTGTTTTCTATTTTGTGTGATTGCTATTTTGAATTACTCCTCCCATCGAATTTCTATTATTTATTATGAGTATTTATTTGTGTTTTTTGTTGTTTTTAAGGCGTCCGCATTTGGACGAGCAAAGAGCTCATTCTTTTTTTCTTTGTTGAATAACAATGCGCGCTGTTGCCGTCATTGCCTTCCTTGGCCTCGTCGCTGTCGCCTCGGCTGAGTTCATCCTCCAGCAGGAGATGATCGACCAGATCAACAACGCCAACGTCGGGTGAGTCTCTCTTCTCTCTCTCTTCTAGCGTTTGTTGTGAACGCTTGTTGTTTATCCAAAAAAAAAAAAAGCGAATTTCGACCCGTGACTTTTTTTTTTTTCCAAATTGTCATGAGACTGGTTTGCGCCTTGTTCCTTGAACTGCGCGGCGTCGGGCTGCACGCTACTCTCAACACTGACACTCGTGTCACTTGCTTGCGTGTGGCGCGGTGACGTGAACGCTTGTGGCTGTGGCTTGGAGGCGCAAAAACAGCCACTGTCATTGAAAAATAATAACGCGATCTTTTTTTTTCTTTTTTTTTTTATTTTTCTCCGCTTTGTCGTTTCTGCTTTCTGCTCCTGTCCCTTGGCGCTGTCTGCCTGTGCCTTCTTCTTCTCTGTGCTCTTGTCGCAATGCTTCTTATCTCTGCGAGTTGGCGGCGGTCGCAGCCTCATTCGCTGTGGTTCTTCGTTTCTTGCGGTGAAAGCATCACGCCGAACCCACTGAACTCGTGATTCACTTGTTTTTTTTTTTTTCATTAATTTTTTTCTTTTTTGTTTGTCTTTCCTTTTCCAGTTGTTTTGCCTTCTGTTTTTTTCCTTATGATTTTGATTTTGATGATTTTTTTTTTTTTCGTTTCAATTCTCCACTCGTGACGCACTTCATTCTCTCACTTGCTTGCTTGATTCTTGTTCTTCTTCTTTGTAGCTGGACTGCCGGTGTCAACCCCCGCTTCGCTGGCAAGACCCGCGAGGACATCAAGGGCCTGCTCGGCACCAAGCTCCTCCCCAAGGGCACCAAGCTCCGTGAGTTCCCCGTTGTCGACACTATTGTCGATGCCATCCCCACCTCGTTCGACGCCCGCACCCAGTGGCCCGCTTCCATCCACCCCATCCGTGACCAGCAGCAGTGCGGCTCTTGCTGGGCTTTCGGCGCCACCGAGGCTCTCTCCGACCGTCTTGCCATTGCCTCCAACAACTCGATCAACGTCGTCCTCTCCCCCCAGGACCTCGTCTCGTGCGACTCGACTGACTACGGCTGCGACGGCGGCTACCCGATCAACGCTTGGCACTACATGCAGTCGCTCGGCGTCGTGACTGACACTTGCTACCCCTACACCTCTGGCAACGGCGACTCTGGCACGTGCCAGATCACCGGCAAGAAGACCCCCGCTTGCGCCACCGCCACCTTCTACAAGGCCAAGACCGCTTACCAGGTTGCCAACAACATGGCTGCCATCCAGTCTGAGATCCTCGCCAACGGCCCCGTTGAGGCTGCCTTCTCTGTCTATGACGATTTCTTCTCGTACACCTCGGGTGTCTACTCGCACCAGTCTGGCGCCCTCGATGGCGGCCACGCTGTCAAGATTGTCGGCTGGGGCGTCGATGGCACCACCCCCTACTGGATTGTCGCCAACTCCTGGGGCACCTCCTGGGGCCAGGCTGGCTTCTTCTGGATCAAGCGCGGCAACGACGAGTGCGGCATTGAGGATGGCATTGTTGCCGGCCTCGCCGCCGTGTAAAAACCCTTTTACACGTCTAGCCACTTTGGTTGCTCTCGTTGTTGTTTTTTTGCTTCCCCCGCAGTTTTTCTTGTGCGAGTTGTTTGAGTTTTTGATTTTGGATCAGTGTTGAAAATGTTCAAACAAGAACAACAAAGAAAAACATTTGAACGAAGCTTTTTTCTTCTTTTTTTGTGCATTCTGGTTTGTACTGTGTTCATTTTGACACGCATGCTTGGGAGGAGGTCAAAGAACATGTCCAAGCAGCATGGCATCGACCTCGTAGCCAACAGGCAGGTCTGCGAGCGCTGTGGTGCGTGGTGGCAGAATCAAAAGGCCGTTGGCACTACGCACACTCAGCAGCCGACTGGAGCACTGGCTGCCCGTCGAAGCAGCCACAAATTTGCCCTTGTGGTGGTTGTACGTCAGAGTGACACGGTGGTACTCTGGTCGCGTGTCGAGTCTGAGCGGGAAGGCGAGTTCTGCCCGCACGATTGGTGCGTTCGGATGCGGACTGCGGGCCATTTGCCGCATGCTCGGGACGACATAGAGATGGAAGGTGACAAGAGCCGACACGGGATTGCCGGGCAGTCCGAAGATGAGTTTGCTGCGGCCGTTGTGCTTGACCGTAAAGAGCGTTGTAGGTTTGCTGTGTGTGGAAAAGTTTGAAACAAGCCAAAACAAGGGCAAAAAGAACATTGAGCGCATTGTCTCAACGCACCCGTGCACGAGACCGAGTACAATCGTCACGCTCTGCATACCCGGGCTTCATGTACACGCGACCGAAATGCAACGTCGCGCCCAGAGAATCGAGCACAGGCTTGAGCAGGTCTTTCTCGCCCATCGAGACGCCGCCTGTCGTGACCAGCACATCCACTTCATTCAACACTTGCTTGATGCGCAAAGCCATGACCTCAAAGCTAACCAACATGCAGTTGAAGCAAGCCAGAGTGAAGGCGGAACAAATCCTACGAAGTCACCACAGAAGCTGTCGAATTCCTCCTTACTCGTCCTGAATAATCCCAAAGTCTTTGGCGTGCAGACCTGCTTCGGCCGCAGCAGCTAGCAACGTGATGCGATTGCTGTCGCGGATTTGATTGGGGCCGAGGGGCGTTGCCGTGTCGATGCTGACCACCTCGTTTCCGGTCGACAAAATGCCCATGGTTGGCTTTGCAAAGGCAGTGACCTAGAAAAACGAAAAAGGGGGGGGGGACAAGCAGAACAAAATAAGGATTGCGTCGGATTGGCTGGAAAAGCAGACACAAAACGTAAAACGTCAAAAAAAAAAAACCCCCTCACCTTGGTCACACCAACACTTGCGAGAAGACCGAGCTCGGCCGGACCAATGACACTGTTGACATCAAGGACACACTCGCCAACAGCAATGTCGGAGCCAACGGCACGCACGTCCTGTCCAGGACCGGAGGCGCGTTTGAGAATGCGCACTCGGAGCTCTGTTTGGCCGTCCGCGGTGGCTTCGACAAGCTCGGTATCTTCCACCTGAACGACTGCATCGGCACCCTCGGGCAGCGCGGCGCCCGTGGTGATGCGGGCAATCTGGCCACTTTGCAACGGCGCAGGGAGCTTTGCGTCGCCAGCGGCAATGCCACCAACCACAGCGAACACGCCCTCGCCGTCGGCAGCAAGCACTGCGTAGCCGTCCTTGACACTGGCGCGGAAAGCAGGGATGGGAGTGGCTGCAATCACGGCTTTGGCGCAGACATGCCCCAGGAGGATTGAGGGCTGTTGGTCGACGAGGCTGAGCTCCACAAGAGGCAGGTTTTCAAGGAGGGCGGCAGCTTCGTGCTGGACGATGCGTTGGGCTTCTTCAACTGAAAACAGAGGGAAGGGGGAGTGCCTTTGTCGACGTGCAACCTGCGCCGGGTCTGGAAGAAGTAAAAAGGATGATTTTTTTGCTGTAAGAGCGCGCACAAAAACAACAAACCACCCAACAGATCTCATTGAGGGGCACAATACCTGCCGACTTGAGCGTCTTCCAATCGTCGGAGACATCGCTTGCAAATCGATCCGTGTGGTGGTCGCAAGAATGATGGTGGTGTGCGTGTTGGTGTTGCTGTGGTTGCTGTTGCTGTTGCGTTGCGGCGATCGCATGCGAATGACCTGCTGCTGAGGGACCCGTGGCGCTGCTTTGCTCTGCTGGAACAGGTTCGAGCGGCGGGTGTTGAGCCAACACGGCATGCGTCTGCTTGACCTGCTTGGCATGTCCGGCAATCAAATCGAGCGCGTGTCCGAGAATGGGCAAGATGAATTGGAAGCACTCGGCCGACGCCTTTTTGCTGCCCGGAAGATTGACAATCAGCGTCTTGCCGCGCACACCGGATCGTGCTCGCGACAGGGCTGCGAGCGGTGTAATTTCGAGCGACTTGATCAGCATGAGCTGCGCAATTGCCGGAGCCTCACGCTCAATGACGAGTAGCGTTGCCTACAAAACAAAAACCACGCCTTTCGTTCAGTAAGTGTACTAAGTGTACTAGTCAAACAACAGGTCTATCGTTTTGTTTGTTTCGTTCCCCTTGTCTGAGCTGTCTGAGCATTCGCACTTGCCTCCGGAGTCACGTCGCGCGGTGCCAGGCCTGTCCCGCCGGTTGTCAGAATCAGACGCAACCCGTCCTGGTCTGCCCACTGCTTGAGCGTCACGGCAATGTCGTCGCGCTCGTCCCGCACCAACGCCGTGTGAATTTCGGGCTGGATGGCCAAACCAGACGAGCGCAGCAGGGCGCACAGGTTGGGTCCGCTTGTATCGACGGCAGTGCCATCTGCGCATGAATCGCTGACTGGCACACCAAGGGAGGTGGGGGGGGGGGAAAGGGGAAAGGGAAGGGAATGGGTTAGGTTCAAAGCCTCGTCTGTCGCTCTCCATCCTCATTGCCGTCAAACCCCTGCCTGGTTGAATGCGTTCGATTGTTGCTGGTGTTTGTGCTGGCTTTTGGAGCATTTTTGGGTGGGGTGGGATGATCACGACTTGTGGCTGTTTTGTCATCACTTTCGCTCCTTTCAATGGCTCACCTGTCAAAACGCCGACACGCATTGCCGTTGCCATTGTGTCGACAACTCTTTGTGAATAAATGACTGGGACAAGCATGCTATGGATTATTGGATTCTCAACGCCAAAACTCACTGTACTGCTCGAAGATGGTGTTGGCGCTTGATGTCATCCGGACCTGCTCGGATTGGCCGCAAGTGAACAGCGATTCTTCAGATCAAGCATGAAACATCCAACGCGATCAGCATGATGTGCTTGTATGCCAAGGTTGAGGATGTCGGGAGTTGGCGGATCCAAGCAATGCTGCAATCTGAGATTTTGACTCGGCTCTCGTTCGTTCGTTCGTTCGTTCATCCTGTTGTTCATATCGAGCATCTCTTTTTTTTTTTTCTTTTTTTTTCTTATCAGTCCCCATTTTATTTTTATTCTTGTTTGTGTCAAAGTGTGTGGTTTTTTTGGGTGTTGGACTTGACTGCCAATTGCGTCACTGTAATGTAAGGCCAGCGAAAACCCGAGAAACAAGAAAAACTGGAATTATTTCATCAAAGTCATCACTTATTTCAAACCACTGGGGTTTTTTCGGCCTCTTCATCAGTTTTTGCATTCAACTGTTTCACGCTCGGCACGCTGGTCGTTGCAGCAGAGTTTTGAATGTGAGCGCTGCAGGCAAAAGTGCAGCACCGACAATCAGAAACACAGAAAACCGGGAAAAAAAAAAAAGCGAGAAATTGCACCAAAAAAAAAAAAACCGACTGCAGCAACGTGTGACTTGCGTTGCGTCACAAGGCGGCGAAGGAGAAGGCTGAATGGAATCGGGCAAAAAGGCAGCGAAGGGTTGATAGTTGGATTGTGCGAAGCATGAATGCATTCAAAGCGGGGTTTTGACTTGGATTTGTGCGGGGTGGGAGCAAAGCAGCAGCGGAGAGAGAAAGAGAGAGAAGAGCGTTCATTTCTCGTCTCTCTCTCGTCTCTCTCGTCTCTCTCTCTCTCTTTCCCCTTTCCCCCAAATCTCTCGTCAGCGTGTGATCTCGGTCGGGTGGTTTCAGAGAAAAAGAGACGCGCGCCTCGACAGATGATAAGAAGACCGCCAAGATAACGGTTTTTTGACGCTATGATTTCATCCCCAAAACCGATTGATTTCAGCGTTCATTGTTCTCTATCTCTTAGCTTTGTGAATCTACCAGAGTCTCGCATTCTCTTTCGCGCTGTCTTGCTCTTTGTGTGTTTTTGTGTGTTTCATTTCAGTACTTTTTGTGATGCTGCTTTCGAGTCAAAGCCCCGTGCTGATTCTCACTTTTCGTACCTTTTCTTCGTGTTTGTATTTTCCACTCTGCAGATCGAGCAGTAACTTCCAGACTCAAACCATAGTGTGCCAGTGTCCGAAATCCTTAAATGACATCACAGCCGATGGATATTGCGCCAAGTGGCGCTCGCACTATGCTTCGAAATCAAGAAAACCACTTGCACCCGCCAGATGAAACCGCATCCATGATGCGCATGCTGGCGCCGTTGTCCTCGTCGCCGCCGGCAATGGCCCCGCTGTCGTCTTTTATCGCACCCATGATGACAACGGGCCCTTACTGTCTTTGGCGGGCTGCCGCTGCTACCGCACAGACGTTGCACGACGGCGCTGCCAACAACTTGAATCCCGCCACCTTCCCAACCCAACCCTTGGTTGCGCAGCACGATGCCTCTGGATTGGTTTTCCCCGCGCGCGTCCTTTCCACTGTCGCAGAGACGAGCGACTTTCTTCGCCGCGAGTCGCGTACCATCGCCTGCCTCACCCACAATCCCCACCCGAACATTGCCTCGGTGGTGGATGTTGTTGGCGCAGGCGTTCAGGCGCCGATGGCACTTGTCTATCAGCCTGTACAGGGCACGGATTTGCATTCCTTCCTCAAGCACGGGTGGACGTTCGCAGAGGACGACGCGCGTCACATTTTTGCGCAAATTTGCGCCACCGTCGCTCACTGCCACTCGATCAACCTCGTCATTGGTGACATGAAGCTCTCAAAGATTGTGCTCACTCACACTCATCAGCACCAGGTGATCTCCAACGGACGTCAGCAGCGCGCGCACCTCGGCCTCCTTCACACTCAGCCGGCCCAAACCGCTCCCGCCACACCAGATGCCATCTCGCAGCTGTCCGATCCATTTGGTGGGGCCATGGGATTTGGCGCCCCTCGCTCGGCTCTCGGCCACCAGCACACCCGCCTTGCCCCTCACGCCCAGTTTGCCGTCACAGAACCGCAAAAGACAACCCTTCCGTCTTGCAGCTGCAACCAGCGTCTGCGCAACATGGACTCGTCGCTCGTGTTCTCGGACATGCACGGTGGCGTCGTCTCTCCGACCATTGTCGCGTCGTGTGTCCAGCTCGTTGACCTCGAAAAGGCCATTCTGCTGGAACACGAGGCGCAGCTGGTCAACGCGTCCGAAACGAGCTGCTCCCCCGCCTATGTCGCGCCCGAGATGCTCGAGCGAAAGCCATACCGGGGCCAGCAAGCCGACGCCTACAGCCTCGGCATTATTCTCTACACCATGATGCGTGGCGCCTACCCGTTCTCGGACACGTCTCCGAAAGCACTCTTTGCGAAAATCCTCTCTGGCCAAGCCCCGATGCCATCTGGGCTCTCGGCACACGGGCGGGATCTTCTTCGCCGCCTGATGCACCGCAATCCCGACGAGCGTTTGACCGTTGCCCAGGCGCTCAACCATCCGTGGTTTACAGAGAGCTCGGCCACCAACGCCGGTCTCCAGCTCGCGCCCCAAGTTTCCGGTGTCGCGGTGCGGTCCTCGTGTCAGAGAGGCAACTACTCTGCTGACACTCGGTCGCTGCGCTCTGCGCGCTCGGTGCACGCGGCGAGTTCTGTTCAGGCCGCCACAAAGATGAATCTCGACGATCAAATCGTTCCATGCATGCCTTCAAAGAAGGCCAATCCTCTGGCAGGATCCGTTTCGCGCCCTCTTATTGCTGCCCATGCTTGATCAACTTTCGTTGGCAAACATGCTTGGCTTGGCTTGGCTTCTCGGCCCCGACTGTTTACTTTCCTCGGTTTCATGCTAACTGGTTTCATCGCTTTGTTTTGTCTTTTTGTCTTTTTGTCTTTTTGTCTTTTTGTTTTGTTTTTTCGATTCATAACATGGTTGTGGCCTTCAATGCTGGCCCGACCTCCCCCTTCTTAACGAAAATCAAACTGTGTTACCAAACAATCCTTCGACAACAGCAACAACAACAACAAAAAAAGAGAATGAATAAACCTGTAGCCCAGCACGAAACCCCGATCGAATGCCCCTGGACTACATTTGTATACCACTTTGACAAGCAATCCCCCTTGCGAAATCTGAGCAGTTCTCAGTCCTCAAACGCCCGAAACAGCCACCACAACGCCAAGCCCAAACCGGATTGATGCCGCAGCTGCCGGTGGCGGTGGTGGACGCCGCGCCCATCCAGCGCCTGCTCGGCCGCCTCGTCACCAGCATCACGGGCTTGCGGCTGGACGACACTGCAAGCAAGGTCGATGCCGCCAACTTTGAGCTCGCGCGCAAGTACGCCTCGAGCAATTTCAAGTTCCATCGGTTTCCAGACACGAACAGCCACCGCGTGCGCGCCACGATCGCCGGGTACGTGGACCATTTCTGGCACGCTGTTGCTTGCTTGCTATAGTGCTGATCGTGGCTTGTTGATGGTGCGAGTGATGAGCCTCCAGCGAGAGCCGCGTGGTATAATGTTGCTGATGATACAAGTTTTGGTTTTTGATTTTCCCGCCATTTTTTTTGCTCACTCCCGCCAAATCACAGACTGGTCGACAAGCTGACGATTCAGAGCGAGCACGCAAAGGCAGAGGCGCTCCAACGCTATTACGGCGCCTATCTCCGCATCATTGAAGCGGAACAGACTGGCGCATCATCAGCCCAGCGCGACGAAGGCTTCGAAGTGCTGCAATTCCTAATCTCGCTGTCTCAGTCGCCGACGCATGCGGATTATCACGAGAGCCCTGTGGCGAGACAGAGCAGGGCTGCAGATCCTAGTGTGTACCACGCCGAGCTTCTCGCTGAGCTCAAGGAAGACCTCAGCGAGTGGGAGGCAGAGCTCGCGCTGAACGACGCGCTGGACGAGGCCGAGGAGGCCATGCATCGCGCGGGCGTGGATGCGGTCTCCGATGCAGCGAATGCTGCTGCGGCATTGGCACGGTCGTCGAGCGACAGTGCAAGTGCAAGCGCGGTGGCGGCGGCGGTGGCGGTGGAGGAGAATGCGGTGGCTCAGCCAACTCAATCGCTCGCACTGCTGCAGCTGCTTTTCCAACGGCAACCCTTCCTCCATCAACTGGAAAATTACATTGTCAAGCCATACTGGACGAGCTCGGCGTTGCCAAGCACCGATAGCCGCCACCTTTCCATTGACGCCCTGCAAACCCACCACGCAATGATTTTGCCGTTTGTGCGGACATCAGAGCATAGCGTTGCTGTGCAAACACGCCAGTTCCATTCTAACATGGCGCCAGAGACGACCCTGCAAACGTGGCTGGAAGTTGCCACTGCATCTACCGGCCTTTCGTCGACTCCGGCGCATACCGTCATCTCGGAGACGGTTTTGCTACGCGAATGCATTTGGCTGTTGCTTGGAGCGCGCCAGTCGGTGGTGTTTACCTTATCCAGCCGGCGTTTCAACTGCTGCAGTATTGAACGACTGGTCGAGTTTGAAACGCGTCGGTCCACACTCATTTCGGTTCCGTCGGTGCGCACTTCGATCAGCGTCCCACACCTCTCGCCAGCGAGCTATGCCGCCGCTCTTGATACGGTGATTCGATTATGCACTGCTTTGGAGCAGGTTCGCGCGATCGAGGCAATCTTTGGGCAATTCTTGCCGACCGATTCGCGAGCAGTCGGCACACCCGCCCACGGCCCCGCACAACTTCCACTTGCGCTGCAAGGATTTGCCGAGTTTTGCTCCAAGCAACTACGACTCTTGTCGGATGTTTTAATCCAACTGGAGAACGATTGCAGCACACTGGGAGCACTTGCGGCTGGTGAGACCGTTCTGTCGGAACAATCCGCGACCGAAGCTCGCCTGCTGAGTGACACGGTTCGAAGACCGACCACGTTCGCACATGTTCCCACCGAACTCGACTTGACTACCAGCTTTGTGGCGTACCCATCCCCTGATTCAAAGGAGATGGCGGCAGTATCCATGTTCGCGTCCACAGCAAGCAACAATCACCTGGATTGTGTCGTGCCAAACTCTCGCCTGTCTATTCTTGCACTCGACATGCAACTACGACCTTGGATTCCTAAATTTGAGCACCTGGCTGCCCTTGGCACCACGCTGACTGGAATCAGCTGGATGGAGAATCAGTCGCACATCCCCCCAGACAACGCTCTCGAGCCTCATGAAATATCACGACGCCTATTGGACGAGTCGTACGCGATGCTTGAATCTGCCGACCTGCTTTCGCGCTCGACTGCGTGGCAAGTGTTTGTTACCGAATGCTTTCTGGCCTGCGCGTCGCCGTGTCTGCACGTTCTTGGCACTTGGATGAGCACTGGTTCGGTTCATGATCTGGCCCAAGACATGTTTTTCGAGCTGTAGGTGTTTTGGAGTGATGCTTGTTGCAGGGGGGGGGGAAAGAGGCTGGAGGTTGTACTTTGAGAACATTCCGTCAACTAACAAATGTGGTCGCTTGTTTTGTTCTGTCAGTCATCCTACCGTCAAACCGACCGACTCCAGCTTTTGGTCCGACTATGCCACGCTGAGACACTCTCGCGATGGGCAAAGTGCGTGCCCCAGGTTCCTGCAAGGGGCTGCCTCTGGCATCGTTCGTTGCGGGTTGGCTGTCGTCCTCAGCACGACTCTCGAGGCGACGCAATCCAAACACCCAGGAGCTGTCGCTGATAAACTAGAGCCCGCGTTTCTTCAAGCCGCTGTTCGTAGTATGATTCTGGCTCGCCAAGACGTGGCAGGAACGGTGGTGGTTTCATTTGAAACCAGCCTCCTGCGCTTGATCCAGTCATGTGATGCCTCCTCGTCCACCCGACTCATGCAGCTATTGCGACAGTCCGGAGTCCACAATCGTGTTGCTGGCACGGTCGCATGTGACCGGACGTCTCGCTCCCTGACTATTTTCGAGTATATTACGGCTGTTCGGCGTATCATTCTAATGGAAGCAGGCGAGGTGTGGAACCCAGTGTGTCACACCTTATTTTCCTTGGTATGGCGATCACTGGATGCAGAGGTGGTGTGCCTTTCTTGTGGATTGTATGGCAGGTACAGCATGTGATCAACTAACGGCGTTTCCGTGTCTGGAATCACAGATTGCGTCAAACACGCAATGGCGGGACGGCTACTTCCTAACGGGTGTGCTGCATGAGCATTTGCCACCGTCGATGGCACATCTTGCATCGGTGTTTTCGATTGCAGTGTCTGAATCGGTTTCGAAACCCAGCCGCTCCACCGTTAATCGAGCAAATGTTGACAGCACCCACGTTGACGTCTTCTCGACCGACTGCATGGAAGTGGTATTACACGTAAGTTTGCATCTGTCGCGTGAGTTGGTCGAATTTCTCACGGGCATCACTTTGCCACACAGGCACCGTGGCCTGCTACCATCCTGATGGATGACAACACGCTGGCGCAGTACAATCGTGTCTTTCAGTTCCTTTTGCGAGTCAAGCACGCCAAATGGGCGCTGGATGCCATCAGGCCGCCAAGGCCAACCTGCACCACACCCCCTGACGCCAAGCTGTGTGCCAAGCTGCAACGCCTACAACATTTACTATTACTGACGCGGCACAAACTTCAGCATTTTGTGAATGCAATTCATCCCTATCTGCTAACTCGGGTGAGCACACAAACGATAAAACGATCGCTTGCGAGATAACCTCACAATTCCGCTCAAAAAAAGCCCGTTCTCATTTCCTTCTTCGCCGTATGGTGGCGTGTTGGTTGTTTTGCTGTGTTTTTTTCCCACCCTCTATCCAGGTCTTGCAAAGTGTCAGCACAGAGTTTCAATCCACGATGGCGGCAGCCAACTTTTTGGACGACTTTCTGGCCGCCCACCGCGACTATGTTCAAACCCTTGTCGATCGATGCTTGCTCCATCCACAGGTTTGGAAATTCAAAGAGTTTTGTTTTTGGATGGCACAGGACGCGGCGGCTTATTTTGCGCTTGTTGTTGGTTTGTTTTGTTTTTTGTTTTGTTTTGTTTTTTTGTTTTGTTTTTTGTTTTGTTTTTTTCCGGCGCAGGTGGCCATCATTTCCGACGTGATTGGAAAGGTGCTAAATCTCGCACTGCAGTTTGCTGGCATTTGGGTCGAGTACGAGCGCGTGCGCAGCCTAGTCTACAGTGGGCAGGCGGCCGAAGAGGAAGAAACGCTTCTCGACAGGGAGGAGCTTGATGATGAGGAGCTCCTTGAAGATGTGCGTGCTCCGCGTCGCCTGCCCTCCGACACTGAGCCTTCCGAAAGCATCGCAATTGCCTCCATGGAGCGTATTCTTTCGCAAGCCGAGTTTGTGGATGGCGAATTCCATCGTTGCCACCATTTTGCAGTTACCGTGTTGAATAACATTGCCGCCCGTGGCTCCCTGCCTCACTGTAAGCCTGGCCGTGTACTTTTTATTTGCTTGCCGTTGCTTTTTTGGTGTGCGCGTTGGCACTGACTGGGCGTGTTGGTGGACTTGAATTTTTTTTTTTTGTTTGTTTGTTTGCCTGCTCGTGTTTTCAGTTGAAGCACTGGCCTTCATGCTTCGCTCTGAGCAGCGCATCCAGCCACTTCGTTATCGTATTTAATAGCAAGAGTGGGATGGATGTACCTGTACCTGTACCTGTACCTGTATGTTAACGTTCTTAATATTGTAAATCATTCAATTGTTCCGGTCGGTTGTCTCTTCAAACCCTCCCATTTCGTCCAGCAAGATCAATGTCTTGGCCTCCAAAGCAATCGTTGAGACCCACACCATCATCCCTTCTCTATTAAATCTCCAATTGAAGTCATTCATCATTTCAACCAAAATGTCTGGCCCAGCTGAATCCAGTGCAGCAGCATCCGCGCCGGCTGGCAATGCGCCTGTTCTTGAAGCGTTTGCGCCTTACTTTCGCCAATACGCCCTTTTGACAGAGTTGTAAGGCTATCGTTTCTGCACTCCCAGAGCAGAGCCCCTCATCCGACCGTGCTGCGGCGACGAGCAGAGTGGCCTTGCTTGGGAGGACCATTGCATTGGCTTCCGCTTGACTTGACCTCACTCTCGTTCTCCCGCTGACTCTTCGCGCTCTCTGCGTGTGGGCCTTGTTCGTTCTGTCTGCTTGTCATCGTCCAGTAAGCGGTTTGCGGCGCAGTACATATCAGGCGTCCTGTGCGTGCCATCCAGCAAGAACAGCGACGGTACGGTAGTTTTGTATTTGAGTTTTTGCTTTCTTTTATTTTGTGTTTTTCTGAGCTGCTTGGATTGCCACTTTCAATTATCGCTCAGCTCACAGAGAAAGGCTCAACTTGAACAAAAAATTTGTGATTTGGTTTTTAGTGTGGGACGGCGTCATCTTTGTGCGCAAGGGCCAGTACGCTGGCGGCATCTTCAAGTTCTACATTCACTTCCCGGCAACATATCCGATGGGCACCGAGCCCCCGCGCATCGTGTTCCAACGCCCGCTCTTCCATCCATTGGTGCATCCTCAGAGCAACGAACTGGACGTGACTCGAAAGTTCCCAACTTGGAGGTTTGTTACATCCGTTTTTTTTTTTGTCGCAAAGTTTGCCTGGTGTTTGTTTGTTTGTTTGTTTGTTTGTTTCCTGACGCTCTAACGCGTTGGAACTCGCAGGAAAAACGAAGATCACATTTGGGACATGCTGCTGTATCTCAAGCGATGCTTTTACAAGATTGAGACGGACGACCCTGCGAATCCCGACGCGGCCGCTCTGCTGCTCAACGATGAGAGAATGTTCCAACAGCGGGTAGACAACTGCGTGTCGGATTCCAAGATGCATGTACACAGCAAAGACGAGTCTGAAATCCAATTCTGCGACTGGAAGGACGAGTACGACGCCGAGCTCAAGCACTATTGGGAAACTGGTAGCTTCGAAGGACCACGAGTGCTGAGCCATTCCAACCCAACGGGCGATTCTGCGCGAGTGTATAATGTTTAACTGTAATCTGTTGTCAGAGTGTTGAGAATGTGCTGTAGCTGTTGTGCCGAAAAAGCAAAGAAAGAAATCAACTCAAACCACGCTCTAGTTTCAAGTGCATACTCATCCCCATTGCAGTCACGAAGCAATCAACCGAGCTTGTCAATTCTTGCTCAACTTCACCTCAAGAGTGTTTGTTCTCAGACCCTGCCGCGTATGTAAAATCGCTAGTCCAGCCACTGGTCGCATTCCATCACTCTTTCAGACTCCATCTCTCTGCTGGTTTCCGAACAACATAATTACAAAAGCATCTGATTGATTCGCATAGATATTAATTTTAATAGAATAAATAAAATGTAGAAAAGCACGGGAATTTAGCTAATTCTCTGCTTTAATTGGTCTTGTTAGAATGTTAGAGTGGGGCGGGGCTGGGGCTGGGGCCTAGCAATTGCGTTCAGTACGTGTTGCGATGCTGAGGGCTATGGAAGTGACTCTACGAGATAAACAGCCCAAAACGAAAAATACAAGAAAAAAAAAAGTCAGAGAACGGCAAATCCACAATCCGCCAAAAGCAAAAGCAAAAAATTCGCCTCACCAAAATGCTAATGTCGTGCGATTTGGTTTGTAGATTGTGCTGATCGCTTTCGGGCACCAAACGTGCAAACTATGCAGCAAAAACAAAAAACAAACAAAAAAAAAAAAAACAGAAAACAGGTCAGTCACATATCCAGCACCTTGTTGCCCAAAAATTGATGGCACACTCACCTGCGAGACTAATCGTTGAAGCGGCTCTGTAACGCAAATCTGCATCCAAATCGGCTGCAGCCATGAAATGGCACTTTCGAGCTCGGGCAGAGTGTAGCCCGTGACAGATTGCACAAAGGCTTCGTCCTGCCACTGCGCTCCAATCGTAGACGATTGCCCGCCAAAAGTCACAAACAACCCTGCAGTTGCAACCAGGCTTGGCGAGTACTCGAGCATGGGATTGTCTGCGATAGATAAGCAAAGCACTGGTTAGACCCGTCACAACTTTCTTCAAGCATTCAATTCAGCTCCAATCAACGCATACCAAGAATAGCGACATCCAGCAATGTCATGATCTTGGTGTATGCGTCTGGCGATGCTTGAGCCAAGAGCAAGGCATCGCTGACATCTTCCTTTTGGCGAAGCGTCGCGATTTGCAGAAAGATTGCAACCCAGGCATTGACCGTAATGGGGCAAAGTTCCCAGTTCAAGGTCTGCATGAATGTGAAAGCAAGCCAGTAGAAATTCGCCCAGTCAGTAATGATGGGGAGGATGAAACACCAAAACCAACCACTTTTTCCACCGCCTTACCATGAGCACTTTCATCTCATTTTCCACAATTTGGAGGGCCGTGCATGCACTATCTGTCACGTAGGCAAAATCAGCCACAACGGGCGGACGAACCTCCTGTAACGTTGCACAACCCGCAGCCAGCGTGAGCGTCTTTCAACAACGACAACAAAAACCAAAGCTCCAGCCCCAGCTGTGAACAAGGGTGGCTCACCTCCAGCTTCGAAGCAATCAGCATGCACGTCGTGCCAATCAGCTGGAGATTGTTCTTGTCGACGGCCACCCGGGAAGAGTGCAGGTACCGATCCACAAATTCTGCGGCTAGATGGAAGGTCTCGCGATGCATCCCGTATTCCTCGCAGACCTCCTTCATCCAGTCGATCAGAATAGCTCGCATGCGGGGAATAATGGTTGGATGCTTTGTGTAGAAATTGCGAGATGCGGGCACGTAATGCTCCTCGCGCGATTTGAGCCAGTCGTAAATTTCGGCAATTTGATTCTGTCATGCAAAAGAAAGAAAGAGCGTTAGGCCGGTTGCTCCACCTCAAACAAATGCAAACATCGCAGCAATGTTCTGCAAAAAACGGGCCGGCGGGCGCACTCACCTTGTGAAACGAGTCGCTCGAAATCCAGTCGCTGACGCGCAAGAAACCGGCAGGTCGTTCCTGAGCTGGAGACGCTGCAAGAAACCGCATAAATCCCTCCTCGATTGCTCCAAATCCTTGCTGCGCAGTCGGCGAATGGTTGAGTCGCGAGTGCATGGCGGCCACTGCTTGAGGCGGGCTCGATCCTGCGGCCGTCTCGACCAAATCCGACCCGGTGGTGGATGCCGGTTCGTTGTTGTGCTCCTGAAGCAATTCCTCCTCGTCCTCGTCCGCTCGCAGCTTTGATTCGTCGATTGTGATGGGTTGCAATTGTTCCTTGTTGCAGATTGAGACGATGGTCATCATCAAGTCAGTACAAGATGTGCGCTCTTTTTGGTGGTTTGGGACTTCACTTCTGAGAGCTTGCTTACAGTTTCGTCAAATACGACCATGGATGTTCTTGGTCGGTGCTGCCCGAGAAGTCGTTGCTTGACATGCGGACTCTGCGGTGACTGGCGGGACGACGTTCTTGTTCGGCGGTTTTCGCTGAGCTTGTGGGCGCCAAAAAGCTGCGTGGCGGGAAGATTGTCGTCAGCGCTGCCGCGGTCTGCCAGCGCGAGGATTGGCAGGAGTGCGTCTGTCGTGGCACTGCTCGAGCCCATGCTACTGCTCGTGCTGCTTGTGCTGCTTGTGCGAGTCCGTTGCGATGCGCGCGAGACCGGCGCAGCAGCACTTGTAGCAGTCGTGCTGCTCAACGTCGTGCTTGGCGACAGAATCGCCGCAGTGTTCTCGTCGTCCACCTGCACAAACAGCGAGTTCACACCATGAGCGATGCGTGGTTGCGTCAGTTTGATTGTATTGCAGCGGTCAAAGTTTCGGTGCTTCAAAAAAGTTGCAAGCGAACGAAAAGAACGAAAAGAACGAAAGAAAGAAAAAAAAAAAAAAAAAGTAAAACGCGCGAAACAACAGCAAAATTTGGCGGGAAAAAAAAAACAGTTGACGGATTGTGAAGATGAACTCGAAAAAGCGCGCGCGCTTGGTCTGTGGCTGCAATGACGCGACCAGTGCGCCTCTGCCTGGCACTCCCGGATGCGCCGTCGTGCGTTGCGCTGGTTTGCGAGATGGGAGCGGACGGGCGGGTGGAGCGATCGCCGTGGCGCGCGGAAAAGCAGTTGGCGCGGTCGCTTCCAATCCCAATCTCACTCCCAAAAGCGGTTTGTCTTCCCGCGCAAAAACGACCAAATACAAGAAACAAGAAACAAAAAACAATGCCAATCGCGCGTTTGCTCTTCCTTCAGCATTGAGAGAGGATCAGCGATGGTGGATGAATTGGGTAAAGCAAGTTGAGAGGGCGTTGAGGGGAAAGGGGCTGAGCGGGGACTTACGTCGAGCAGCGAGCGCGTTCGCTTGGTTCCTCTTTGCTGCTGCAACTGGCTGGTCATAGTGAAGTTGTAAAATGGGGGAAAAAAATGTTCAAAGAGGAATAAACCAAGAATTTAAGAAACAAAAAGAGAGAGACTTGGAAAAGTTTGCCATCTCAACAATGCAGCGAGATCAGCAGTGGAACAAAAACCATTCGTGATCCGAGCTCCACTTCGAATTGAATCTGCAAACACCACACTTCCCGCCCCGCGCCAACCTAATTCATGATTGAAATCGAGCCAGAACGAAACTACTACAAGATTAAACAACGCGCCGAACATCAAGCAAACAAAACGTTGCACGACAGGTTGGACATTGCGCGGTGCCGTTCAGCCAGTTGGAGGTTGCTGCTGGGTTTTGCTTGGAGGCAAACCACTTGCCCAGACACTCGAGGCACCACATTGGACGACAGTAACAGGGCGTGCATGCGGTAGGCGTTTGACACCGCTGGACAATTTTGGCGCGCGGCGGATGCGCCATGCAACCGACACACATGTCGTCCGTGGCGACATGGCTGGAAGAAGCTGGGTGCGGATAGACGGGATTTTGGCTCACTGTCTCGAGGAATGCAGTGACAAAGCGGTCGCTCAACGTCTGGGCAATCACAATCGATTGTGCGTTGCGAATGATGGTGGTGAGCTTGTCCTGAATCGCTGAAAAGTCGGTCGAATTGAGCCGAATGTCGAACGGCTGCACGCCAGGGGTCGCGGCCGTGACGTGAATCCGAATCATTTGCACAGTGTGGTCACTAGCCACGCCGCCGGTTGTGTATGCCAGCGCGGCAAGTTGTGGATTGGCGTGCATTGCCTCTGCGGCTGGTCTGGCAGCAATCGGGATTGTTTCGCTGCCGAGAATGGACATGTCGACATCGTTGTGGTTGGCAATGTGCAAGTTGTACCACGTTCTAATGGGGACAGAGAGTGGGGAAGTCCAAGCGAACAAGTTTTGTTTGTGAATGAATGACAGCCTTTTGAGTGTTTGACACTTGCTCCGCCGCCCCGCCGCCCCACTCGAATCCATCACCAAAACCAACAACAGCCCTGTGGCATGTTGATGAACGGAGACTATTCACCGTACCGCTGAAGAATCCAGTCGCTGGTAATGACAAGCTGGGCTTCGTGGGAGTTGACGACCACACAATCCATTCGCCGGCACTCCATGTCAATCTGTCTTGCGAGGTGTCTCCATGTCGGAGAGTAGGCGCTGGTCGATGGTTTCAACAGGGAAGTGGAGAGGTCAATCTTCGAACGAAATAAAATCTACACAACAAAACCGCACGGTGGCAGTGCATACCTAAGGTTGCGAGCGCTGGGATGGTACTCGCCGTCCAGCAGCGACCATCGAAATGCATGTGCCAACATTGTGAATGCGAGTACAACTGCAGCCACTGCGAGGAGCATTGCGGCATATTGCAGCAGTTCCGGCGTTGCGTTCCAGCTCGGATCGTCGTGGAGTAGTCCGGCTGTCGACGACCCCCCCCCCCGCCCAAATATACAAAAACAGCGTCAGAGGTCAGCCAAAAGGTTACTCACATGTCGTCGATCGTCGAACGAAACTCAAAATGTAGAATTTGAGAATGACGTGTCGACCGGAGGAGGTACTCGATTTCAATACCTGTGCCAGCCACAAATCCCAGAAGCAGCAATGCGTGTGCAGCCAATGTCAATGTCGTCATGTGCATGTGATGATGAATATACGAGCGGTCCTCGCGAGGTCCGAACGAGGCCTGGCATCAACCGAAACCGAGCAACTGTGAGCGCAACATCAACAAGTACACACGAAGGTCGACAGAAGAGCGACCAGATCAAGCTCAGCTCCAGTACCAGTAGAGCATCGAGAGTCAGCTGCTCAGAGACCAGGGCTGGCGGTGGGAAGACCAGGCAGCCCACGACCAGGCTGTAGCCGGTTGCGAACAGCACTGCCGGGTGCATGCTGAGCGACTCAGAAAAACAACGACTGGAAATGGATGTTCGAATAAATAGAAGAATTTCAGAAATGGAATTTGCTCGAGAAGGAGCGCAAAGTGACCAACAAACACAGTGAACACAGTGAAGCTTTTCTGGGAACAATTTCACATTTTGCATTGAGTGAAAAACTCGGTCGTCCGTAGAAATAAAGAATACATTTTAATGTGGTGAGGGAAGATATCAAGGAAGAAAAGTGATCAACAACAACAACAACACAGATCCAAACTACTTGGACGGCGGTGGTGGACTGTGATCGATAAAATCGAGCAGAATCGCGCGCGCCTTCTCGGGCTTGCGATCGGTCGCCTGGCCGCCGCTCGACGAGGCTGCACGGTTGGTTGCGGGAGCACCGCGCGTGGTTGAGCGCTTGGGCGATGTCGAGTAGTAAAATTCTACAGGTTGATTGTGAAACTGAAGCGTTGGCGGCTGGTGTCGTTGTTGCTGCTGCTGTTGTTGCTGCTGCTGCTGTTGTTGCTGCTGCTGCTGCTGGAGTTGATGCTGCTGTAGTTGCTGCTGATGTAGCTGGTGCTGTTGCTGGTGCTGTGGCGGCAGGTGGAACTGCGGTGGATGTGAGGGGTGCGAAAGCACTTGGTGCTGCTGCGAATGCGGCGCAAACGTAGGCGGCATTCCAGGGATGGAAGACGGATAGAAGGCAGTGTGGGAGCCAGCAGATTCTGAAAAATAGCCAGTTGGTGGAAGAGCATTGTTCCCTTGTTGGATTCCACCAGGCCACTGCTCCGCTGGTGCGCGACGAGGAGCCGCCTTGCTTGTGGTACGGGTGGCTTTTTGCCCGCTCGGAGCTGAGGCGCCGTTTCGAGGTGCTCTACTCGAAGCTGAAGCTTGATGTGTCAGTTCTGCTTGATCGGCGTCAGAGTTGAGCCGCCGTGCCAGCTGCAAGTGCATCTCGTCCTCCGACCCGTTCGTCATGTCCGAATCGTTTCCGCCACCACCCACATCAATATGCGGTGCGCTGCTGCCTTTGCTACTGTTGGCTCCAGATATGCTCCCGAGTTTGAGAGAGCGGCGCGCCCAAGGGCGACGTTCGACACCAGCGGTGGTGGGAAAGTCTGATGCAGACGAGGATTGCGACGACCAGGACGACTTCGGCATGGGGCGCTCGTCGTCCAAGCCGGCGAGCGAGTCCGTGTCATCCGAATCATCCGAGTCGCCGAGCGCGTCCGGGTTGGCCATCTCTGTCTTTGGGACGCCACCTTTGTTCTTCCGGTGCCCAGCGCCCGGTGCGAACAGAGGGTTGGAAAGAGTAAACGTCGCGTGGGAGGCGGAAGCAGCTGCGGCCTTCGCAGTGCTGAGGGGCCCAGAGCTGAGAACGAGGGCGGACGTCTTGACAACCGGAGCTGCTGCTGATGCTGCTGCTGCAACAACGCGATCAGAGGCAATGGATTCGGCGAGCTGTCGCTTGGAGGTGGCATTCTTGCGTGCACGAGACGGAGCATCCGACTCGCTGGATGATTTGGGTGAAGGGTGGGTTTGCAAGCGCTCGCGATTGGCCGCCAGCAGGCTGACCGTTTCGAGCAGGGCCGACGTGCTCGGCCGGCCGGGTCGGAGCTTTTTGCGAATGTGCTCGGTCAAGAGCGTGTCAAACGGCTTGGAGCGACCCACGACGCGTCGCTTTTCACTGACAGGATGTGCCTTGCAAGTGATGGAGCGAGTGCATGGCTGCTCGAGTCCGACAATGACCCCGCACATGGCGTCAGCATCGTAGGGGCGACGAGCAGCAACCGCCGCAGCACGTCTCGGATCCTCCGTGGAGCGGCTGGGTGATGCGTCGATGGAGCGCTGAGGCGCAGGCGGCGACGGCGACGATTCCGGGGCTTGCACGTCGACGATGGCCGAAGGAACGCCGCGCGACTTGTCGCCGCTCGTGCTTGAAATGCGACTTGCCTTGTCCACGTGCTCCCCTGGCTGTGACTTGACGAGGATTGTAGATCCAGAAGATTGGGAAGGCGCAGCGCCGCTCCCAGACTCGCGTTTGCTGCTGACACCAGTAGTTGTTGTTGTTGTTGCTGCCGCCGCCGCCGCCGCCGCTGCTACACCTTCCATTGGAGAAGGAGATGACGGGAGGTTTGAGCCGGCGGACGGAGAAGGTGGAGAGGAGCTGGAGGAAGACGACGAGCTCAAGATTTGGCGGCTGCGCAGCTGTCTTTGCGATTGGCTTGGTCGTGGCGGCGATGCTTTGGTCAAGCCAGCCGCCTCCGCGTGCACTCGCCGCAAATGCGCATTAAACCCTGCCGTCAGCACAGCCTTCATGCAGTAATTGCAGACGACAATGGAAGGCGCTTCGAGCATTGGGAAGCGGCCAAACATGGCCATGTCCTCGGAGCCCAGATGGTGCGAATAGGAGGCGGGTGACTGATGCTGTTTGTGATGCTGTGACGAGTCTCCCGCAACAATGTCGGATATTCCGTTTCCACTGTGGTCCATCTCATTGCCATTGCGTTGTGTTGGTGACGAAAGTGCAAACCAGGACGCCACGGACGCCTGGAACGGCAAGGCAGTCCAGCTCCCACCGGCGCTTCCTGCTTGCGGCAGCAAGTCTGCCACTGATGAGCGCGATGAAGATGAGTTGTTGTTGTTGTTGTTGTGGTTGTTGTTGCTGATGCTGTTGCTGTTCGAGTCGGCGACAAGGAGTGGGCTTGGAGTGTCGCCCAGAAGCATGGGTGTAACAACCGTCGGAGTGACGGGTGGACTGGCGGTCGACGCGGATGGCTTTGTCCCGCGGCCCACTGCTCCTGCTCTTGATGACATGGACATGGAGGCGATGGCGGAGGCCGCTGCAGCTGCAGCTGATCGGCTGCTGACCAAAAACAATGCTGGCGATGCAGCGACCACTTGTGCGAGACTCGGCACTGGCGTCGACGCTGGCTGCTGGGCTCCAGGCGAGGGTGCCGATGACGAAGCCGACTGATGGCTTGCACTTGCAGCAAACTGAAATGGCGAGGTTGTGGCATCCTTGTCTGCGTTCCCACAGCTGTTGTTGCTATTTGGCAGGACGACCGGATTCCAAGCTGTCGCGTCGCTGCCAAACACGGCGAGCATGACGCTCGTTGCCTGCGTGTCGAGAATTACGGCATTGTCTTGAGGTGCGAAACCGGCATCCAGATTCAGATTCGATGCATCGGCACTTGGCGTCCCGTCGCCTGGCGCAGTAGTGCCATCAGCAGCAGCAGCAGCAGCGGAGAAGGACGAGGAGTGATCGTCCGTCAATGGAAGCAGTGACTCTGGGCCAGCAAGTCCACTCTGCGACGGGCGTCTTGATGCAACAGTCCCGCCAGCACCGGTCAGCGTAAGAGCAGTCGTCCCACCGGCCGCTTGAGGAGCACCAGCACCAGCGCTGGTGACTGAAGAAGCAGCAGCAGCAGCAGCAGCTTGAAGAGTGGCGTCGGACGCTTGCTTGCCTCGACCGCCACTGGCCACCACAGCACTCACAGAGCTGTTACTAGCCATGCTATTACTACTATTACTACTACTACCGTTGGTGGATGCCGCTGCTGCACTGCTGGCGGTCGCTGTGCTCTGGCTGCTGCTGCCCATTGCAGATCGCCTCCGTCTGTTACTGCTGCTGCTGCTGCTCGACTCTGTATTGGATTTCAACCCAGATCCTGACGATGATGACGATGATGACGATGATGATGATGGTTGTGCCTGTGATGATGGTTGTTGCGATGATGATGATGGGCGCTGCTGCTGCTGCTGCTGCTGAAGGAAGAGCGGTTGCACAAGCACAGCAGGCACTTGCAGTAGCAACGCAGCGACCTCGGCTGCCAGCTGCTCGTGCTCAACATGCTCGTGCTCAGCCTGCTGTTGAATAGATGCAGAGGGATGTTGGTGGTGTGGTGACTGGGAGTGGGATTGGAGGGTCGACGATGATGATGATCCGCGTCCCCCTGCCAACCCAACACCAACACCACCACCAACACCACCACCAACACCACCACCAGCGCGGTGCGGCGGAGGCATTGAGTAAATAGTCTAAGAAAAAAAATAAAAGATAAAATTAAAAAAAAACCAGGACTGAGGTGTGAAAGTCAAAGTCAAAGGTGAAACAATGAGAAAACAAAAAAAATCTTAGAAATGGCAACAAATCGGGCTGTTGTTTCTGAGCCGGGTCAAAAGTCACATGCATACATCATAAGAAGGGGCTATTCGGCATAAATCGAGTGCATTTTGTTGTAATGATGAAAAACAGCCAGAAAGCAAACAGAAAGAAAAGAAAAAAAAAGGCAAAGAAAAGCAAGACACATCAACACTTTGCAAAAACAGAAAGAGAGAAACAACCGTCAACAGATGGTGCCGCACTTAACGCAGCTTCTTCTTCCACTTGAGAGCGGCAGTGACAACGGTGGCAGCGGTGGACACGGACCGAATGGACGCGGCCTGGGCTGCTTTGACCGTGTTGGTGATGGCGCCAGAGAGGCCCTGAGCGCAAGTCGCGAGCTGCTCGAGTGCGTCGGGATCGCTGTCACCGGATCCCGCGCGGACGGCGCATAGAATCTTGAGTTGCGTGCACATGGTGGGAATGGCAGCGGCGATGGCCTCGAGTTGCTGCTTGAGACGCTTGTCAGTGCACGTCTTGGCAACCTCGGCGGCCTTCTTGGCAATCTCCAGCGCATCCTGCTGCACCTGCCTGCACGCTGAAATCAAGCCCTTCTTGTCGCCGGAGGCGGCAAAGTCGGAAATCTTGCTAAACTGCTCGGCAATGCTGCTGGCCTTGGCAATAATGCTGTTTTCAGAAGCGTCCCACTTGGCAATTTCTTGCTTGATCTCGTGGCCAGCCTTCTTGATGGGATCCGACGGCACGGGGCCGAGCTCCTCGGCCACCTCGAGCTCAACGGCAATGGACGTGCGGTGGTCGCCAACGACGGCAAGCGACATGCGCTTGTCGAGCTCGGACATTTTGCCTTGCACGGCCACAACCGCCTTGTTGACGTCGGCATGCAGCGCCTGGAGCGAGCCGTTCAGCACCTGCACCATTTGTGGATCTACGACTCCGTTCATGGAGGCGTATTGAGCCACCTTGACTGCGTTGCCAATCACGGTCGCCATTTGCGTTTCGAGTTGGTCGGCAAGACCGAGCAGCTGTGCGCGGTAGGCCTCGTTACCAGAGTGGTACTCTGCCTCGGTGCGCAGCAGGTTGGCCATGCGCTTAATCTTGGCATTGAGGCGCT